TGCCTTTAGTCTTGCCAAGAAAAGCAGGCTTATAAATGAAGTAAATAAATGTTCACAAGTGCTCAGAAAAGGACGAAGACTGTCCCCTAGGTTCAATTTTTAAACTACAAATAGAACAGATATCTTTTCACACAAGAATTAACATAACTGCTTCTTGTGGAGCAGCATCAGTTTAGAGCATGCAAGATATCGGAATTAGTATGTCAGCCATCTTATTTATTTATTTCCTTATTTAACTTGTACCCCACGAATGGGCTAAGGGGGGCTCATAACATAATAAAAACCAAGATATAAAAACAGTTATATAATTATAGTAACGTTATACTAATTATAGCGGTCTAAGTTATATAATTAAGCAATTAAAACAAGACGGCATTAAACATGAGTAATCCAGCATCTCCTGTGTCATTTAAACAGGCGATGGTAGATGGCCTGATTTAGAACAGTTTTTGATCAGATGGTGGGAGGTGCCTAAAATATAGTGCCCCATAGATGATAAGCAGTGTCCAGGAGGCACTGGGCAGGTACCAAAAGGCAGGGGAGGCCAAGAGGGTTTAATTTCCACCACCTCACCCAAAGCCCTGGTGGAACAGCTCCATCTTACAGGCTCTGCAGAACTGTAATAACTCTCTCAGGGCCCTGATCTCAAATGGGAACATGTTCCACCAGGCTGGGGCCAGGGCCAAAAAAGCCCTGGCCCTGCTTGAGGCTAAGGTGTTGATCTATGGAGTGCAAGGCTGTCTGGGGCACATATAGGGAGAGGCAATCCCACAGGTTGGAAGGGACCTCCAGGGTCATCTAGTCCAACCACCTGCATAATGCAGGAAATTCACAAATACCTCTCCCCCACACATACACCCAGTGAGTGAGCCCTGCTCCATGCCCAGAAGATGGCAAAAAACCCTCCAAGATCCCTGGCCAAACTGGCCTGGAGAAAAATTGCTTCTTGACCACAAAGTGACTATCAGCATTTCCCTGGCTATGTAAGAAAGGGCCATGAGAACTAAGCTCTGATGCAACCCTTCCTGCACTCCTTCTCATGATCTGCCTAAGTTCACAGAATCAGCATTGCTGTCAGATGGCCATTTGGACTCTGTTTAAAAACCTCGAAAGAAAGAGAGCCTCCCGAGGAAGCCTGTTCTACTAAGGAACTTCTCTAACTGTCAGGAGGTTCTTCCAAATGTTTAGCTGAAAACATTTCTGATTTAATTTAAACCCATTGTTTCTGGTCCAACCTTCTGGGGCAACAGAAAACTCCTAACTCCATATATGCAGGGCTATTTTTGAGCAGGAACGCACAGGAACGGAGTTCTGGCTGGCTCCCAAGTTGGCCACGCCCAGCAGGAACTTATTAGCATAATAGGCCACACCCAACAGGAGAAACTCATTAGGATTGGCTACATTAGGAATGTGTGGCCTAACATGCAAAGAAGTTCCTGCTACAAAAAAGCCCTGGGTTTTGACAACAAACAAGGTAAACAGAATAACAAGCAAAAGGTGGGTGTGGCTGGATAACCACACTTCTGGTAACATGGGGGTGCAGCCTAATGGGCTAATGAGCTGTGCTGTCGGGGGTGTGGCCTAATATGCTAATGAGTTTCTGCTGTTGGGTGTGGCCTATTATGCTAATGTGTTCCTGTTGGGCTTTTTCTACAAAAAGAGCCCTGCATGACAGCCCTTCAAGTACTTGAACATGGTCATCATATCACCTCTCACTTGCACGCCTGCAAAGGCATCACCGTCAGCAGGCATGCCACCGCATTCTGCATGAGCTTAAGGTTATGGATCAGGTTCAAGGGTAGTCCCATGTAGAATGAGTTACAGGACTCCAGCCCATAAGTGACCATTGCGTGGATCCTTGCATGGATCCTTGTAGCTAACTCCTGAGAGGTGAGGTAGGGAACCAGCTGCCTGATCAGGTGGAGATGGTAAAAGGTCAATCTGGCAACCATGGTGACCTGGGCCTCCATAGAAAGCAAGGGATCTAGAATCACCCTAAGTCTCCTCACCCTTGGTGCTGGTGCCAATGGCACCCCACCGAGCGCTGGGAGCTGGATTCCTGATCCCACACCCCCACAGCTCAGGTACAGGACCTCCATCTTTGTCGAATTTAATTTAATTTCAAAGCCCCTAATTCCCGGTTGAGAATATCTGTAGTGGTGTCTGACTGGCTATCCATCAACAGCTAAAGCTGAATGGCATCAGTGTACTGATGGCAACCCAGCCCAAGCCCTCGAATCAAGGGGGGGGCGCATATAGATGTTAAACAACATTGGAGAGAGGATCGCCCCCTGTGGCACTCCACATTCAAGCAGGTATCACTGGGACATCCTCTCCCCTAGCACCATCCTCTGTCCCCAACCATGGAGAAAGGAAGAAAGCCACTGTAAAGCAGTCCCCTGGATCCCTACATCGGCGAGGCAGTGGGTCAACAAGTCATAGTGAACCATATTGAACACTGCTGTCAGATCTAAGAGCAACAGCAGCATCCACCCACCTCGATCTAAGTGTCTCTGGAGGTCATCCATGAGGGTGACCAGCATGGTTTCCATCCCATGGCCAGGGCAGAAGCTAGGCTGGAATGGATCCAGGATGGAGGCATCATCCAAAAAGACCTGGAGCTGCTCAGCCAGCACTCTCACCACTACCTTACCTGAAAACGAAAGATTTGAGACCGGGTGATAGTCCTTGCTGACCGTGGGGTCCTATGATGGCTTTTACAGGTGCGGACACACCACTGCCTCTTTCAAGCCCACTGGGAATATCCCAGAAGACAGGGATAGGTTGATAATATCTCTCAGGGGGACCTGAACACCATCTCCGAGAGCCAGTTTGGTGTAGTGGTTAAGAGTGTGGACTCTAATCTGGGAGAACCGGGTTTGATTTCCCACTCCTCCACATGCAGCCGCTGGTATGACCGTGGGTCAGTCATAAGTTCTTTCAGAGCTGTTCTCTCAAGGACAGTTCTCGAGAGAGCTCTCTCTCAGCCCCACCTACCTCCCAGGGTGTCTGTTGTGGGGAGGGGATTGTAAGCCGCTCGGAGATTGCTTTGGGTAATGAAGGGCAGGGCATGGGTCAAAGGGAAAAGAGGTAGACCTCACAGCTGCCAGGACTTTGACCAAAGGCATCCAGGAGCACTCCGAAACCCCTAGCCTCCAGTGCTGGAACTAAAGCAGCCCCTTTGAAGGTCGGAAGCAGAATCCCTACCCCCAGACCACCCCGGCTCACGCACAGGACCTCTGTCTTCATCAGATTCCATTTCAGCCAGCTCAGTCTGAGCCAAACAACCGCGGCTTGTAACACCCAGTCTGGGCCTTCCAGTTTGGAGCCAGGCTGATCGCCCAACAACAGATAGAGCTTGGTGTCATCCACATACTGGTGACATCCCAGCCCATGCCTCCGGGCAATCTGGGCAAGGAGGTGCATGTAGATGTTGAAAAGCATCGGGGATAGCACTGCCACTTTAGGCACTCCACAATCCAGTGGGTGTCTCTGGGACAGTTGTTCCCCAGTGCCACCCTTTATCCCCGACCTTGGAGAAAGGAAGCAAGCCACATCAAGGCCAGTCCCTGAACCCCAGTGTCGGTGAGGCGGTAGATCAGTAGCTGATGGTCAACCATGTCGAACGCTGCTGACAGGTCTAACAGCAACAGCACTGCCAATCCGCCCCGATCCAGGTGCCTCTGGAGGTCATCCGTGAGGGCGACCAGTGCCATCTCCATTCCGTGGTCCGGGCAAAAGCCGGACTGGAAGGGATCTAAAATGGAAGCATCTTCCAAGAAGACCTGTAACTGTGTTGCCACAGCCCTCTCTATTATCTTGCCCAAGTAGGGCAAGATAGAAACCGGCCGATAATTAGCCAATTCAGCCAGGTCCAGAGATGGCTTTTTCAAGAGAGTGGTCAAAGTCCTGGCAGCTGTGAGGTCTGACTGAAGTGGTCCAGAACCAGACCCGGACAAGTGGCTTCCAGTTTCCTTACTGTATCAACTGTGGCTGGGAGGTCCTGGTGGAGTGATGAGACTTTGCAAAATAGCTCACGAATGCCTCACAGCCGATAGCCAATTCCTTATCATTTTGCTTGCCTTGCAGAAGACCAACTTGTTCTTAATAATTGGGCTGGGTGAGAGTTTGCAGATGCAATGAAGGCCACATAGAAATTCTTCTTAGCAGCCTTCACTACCACCTCATAGGCTTTCATAAATGACTTAAAAGATGTTCTCACAGCTTCGTCACAATAACACTGCCACCCTCGCTCTAGCTGTCTCAGTTCTCGCTTCATCCTCCATAGCTCCGTGGTATATCAGAGGGCTAGTTTGGTGTGAGAATAGAGAAGGGCACCAGGGGACAATTTCATAGATGGCCTCGGAGAGCCAGTTGTGCCAGTCCTCCATCAGCTCATCTAACGAGTCACCAGGGGGCATCGGATCCTTCAGAGCATTCTGGAAACCGGGCTTTCAGGGTGAAGTCAGTGCCACCATGGATGACATTAGGTCCCTGGCCTGAGAGGAAGCAGCAGCATTGACATGGATGTACACAAGGCGACATGGAGGGGAATCATGTATTACCATCCTTTGACAACGGGTGGAATAAAAGTGTGATAGATAGACAAGTAATCCTCTGATGCTCTGAAAGTGGTTATCTGCTACCATTTCTTTTAAAGTATTTACTTCATGCAGACAGTAGCATAAGTGTTCTACAGACAGCTGCATAAGTGTTCTACAGAATAGAGACTGCAGTTTGCAAGATGTGAAGCGAGCAAGATTGTAGAAAGGGCCAGGACTTTGTGCATTGGGGTGGTGACAATTGAGACTGATACATAAATGACGGGGAGGTGATAGGAACCCCTTCTGTGTTTTGTGTTAATCCCTGTCTGACCTACAAGGTATGATTTATCTCTCAGATTTTTTGTTCAGGAATGGAACTATGACTGTCATTCAGCTGGAAGCAGGCCAGCGGGAGTTGCATGTCATGATGTGCTGTTTCTCATCTTTCCTTGGCAGGTCACTATGGAAAGGATTTTTATCGAACTGGAGGTCCAGATTTCCATAATTTCATCTCCTCCGGGTTTGTCACATTAGGAAGAGGACACAGCAAGGGTACAGTGGAAACCATTTTTTGCTAAATAGAAAAGATGGGTTTAAGTACAATCTGTAACTTGGAAGCTGGACTATATGTGACAATAGATAACAGTATTTGTGCAGAAAAATATAGGTTTATTCTGGCACATGGTGTTGCAGGTCCAATAAAGTGCCATAGGCAGCCTCTTAAATCCTGCAGAGGGAGGAATGGCATGAGGGTCCATGGAGGCTATAGTATGGCAAGCAGGCAGGCTCTAGTTATAGTTTGCAGTCTGACAGTATGTGTTGCCCTGTGTTTTCCCGAATGCATGGATGCAAACTGCCTGTCTTCCTACCATATTTTCAAGAAAACTAAAGGGGCTGGGATAGAAAGGGGGATGCTACTTTGGGAGCATAGTGCACTCCTCTTATACTGTACATTTGTGCCACATGAACCAGTACCTACATCAGATGCAGCTAACTGTTGGTACAAGGGTCAATGACTATGGCAAATCCATCAGAAACATCTCTTAACACAAGCCCCCCATTGAAACCAGTGGAAGTTGCACAAGAGGTCAAAAGGTGCATAGCTTGCACAAGTATGTATGTTTTTAAACTAGGCCAAGTTAACTTATTTTTAGTTGCTGTAGATTTTCCGGGATATGTGGCCGTGGTCTTGGCATTGTCAATGCCAAGACTACGGCCACACATCCCGGAAAATCTACAGCAACTAATGAACTTCGGCCGTGAAAGCCTTCGACAACATATTTAACTTATCTTTCTTCAAAGCCAGCCTGATGAAGGTGTCGGTGCATTTCTGTTCCCTTTGTACAGCTCAGTGGGAAGTGTTTTGCTGTATGGCTAGGGCCTTCCCTGGGAGTTGCTTTTTATTTTATTTCACTTTCTGTTGCATCACATAGCTTTGGTCACTTGCATGAATCACCTGGAGGTAATTTTTTTTGGGGGGGAGATACTCTCTGTGTTTCACCTGTTCTTTATTTGTGGTATTGTCTGGATGTTATAAACTGTGCTATAGCAGGGCAACATTTTAATGGTCTTGCTACATGGCATGTCACCAGATCTCTTTTAGCATTTCTCTTTTACATCTGCAGTGGGATTTGTGCAGGAGATGCTTCTTACAGATTGTGCCATAAGGTTACTGCTCAAGGTATTCACTTCTTATTCAAGACATTATCATTATAACAGGAGTGCACTATATTTAGATATTTCCCCTCAATATTATAAATATTTTATACAGTGATTTCCTTAAGGGTCATATATTTTTGTGTGTCTACCTAATCTGTGAGAAATATAAAGATATATATGCATATATATATATATGTATAATATGCTGTACAAACCTGAAAACATGTCAGTATCCATATTCTGCATTGTGTATGTTCTGTGTAACATCTTGCGTATACAGTACTATGCTGAGTGTGCTAATGTGGTGATGTGAATAGCAAACTGTACATACCATACCATCTAGCAGTCATGGTGACTCAGGAGCTTGCTGTTACCAGGACCTTGATGGGTTTTTCCTTTAATGACTCTGATGATGCCTGTTTGGGTAGGTTTCTAATGCACTATGGTATGAGTTGTCATTTTAAACTTTTCTTGTGCACATTCCATATTCAGATTGTTGAAGAGTGAGCTAACCTTCTCGAAAGACTTGAGGGGAGAAAGGGACAGCCCTGTCTGTGATATACCATTTAATAACCCTAAGATGTTATGACTTACCTGGCTAGCTGACTATCAAGTCTCTTCCAGGGCCAGCCTCACTCTGTGGCACACTCGTGCATTTATGGTGGTCCGTACTGCTGGTCAGGTGCGCACCACAATGATAATCCAACATTGTTTCTTGCTGACTCACTGTGAGACTATTGTACATTTACATAGATGTATATGGAGATACTATTTCTATAGAAACAATGTATTGTATGTGGAGACATATTGTTTCTTATACCCATTGTTGTTGTTGTTTCCATGGATGTTCACCATTTACAAGTTGTAAAAAAAAAGACATTACCTTTTTCTGATGTTTCTTGCTGTTTAACCAAATGGAAGAAAAACTTTCTTCACGTATGTCATCCAAAGTGGTATGAGTTCTGTGGAACTGTCACAGAGGAACCAATATATGTGTGTATTGTCTGTGTTTTGTGTGTTCAAATAAATTTTACTGAGGTGAAGGCAGAGCACACACTTGACAGTGCAGTGGATGCAACATATGAACAAGGCACCAACCTTCAGGCAGAGGACTTGAATAAACGTCCTCTGAGCTCACCCTTACGAAGATGGGGTGGGAGGACACACACTGAGATTGCAAGCAGAAGTGACAGAGGCTTCAGGCAGGGATGGAAAGCACAAAGTGGGATAGTCCTATATTTTTCTTAGGATAAATTGGGTTAGCCACTGTAATCCTAAGGGAAGCTCCCAGAAGCATCTTATGAACCAGGGATTTCAGCTTGTTACAGTCAGAGTTTCTGTAACCATTTTGCTTATTTGAAAGAATACCTCTGTTCCTCCTACACTCATAGAAGCTAATGGGATCTTCCTCCATGAAATGTAGTGGCGGTTGGCAGGGCAGAAAGGAGAATAGGGGGCAAACAACAGATAAATGATGGTGGCCATGGACCAGACAGAAGAGTGGTGAATGAGCTTTTGTTATATAGCTTTTATCCAATATATTGCCAAATCTCACTGTTCTAATTGGGAGGCTTTCTAAAATTGATTTCCCCCCAGAGTGCTGCATCTTCTGTAGCAATCTAATTAATTACAACTATTATTTTCAAACATTATTATTTTAAGGGGGGGGAAATCAGATCCTGCAGGACAATTAAAAGGGCTTGAAAATACATTCTACTGATGCTCAAATAAGAGCGCTTGAATCTATTCTTTTACTATCCCAATCTTAAACATATTTACTTTTAAATAAATCTCATTTATTTGAGTAGGATTTCCTTTGAAGTGAGTATGTTTCAGATTAAAGCCTCTATCTGATAATTTCTTAATGATTTTAGAAGTCAGGTTCATATATATGAGCTGTGAGATTTGGCAATGCTGCTTGCATAGCTGTGCCCAGTGTGACAATTTTGCATTCTGTGTCTGGTTGAACTGGCCTTTGTGGTGTCAGTTCAGCTGTTCAAATGTTTACAAGCAAACAGCCTTGCTTGTGAGCTTCCCAGAAGCCTCTGATTGGCCACCACTGGAGAGAGAATGCTGGACTAGACAGACCTTTTAATCTAATCTCAAAGAGCATTTCTTCTGCTCTCAACAGTATGTGAAATGTGTGTAAATTTCAAAAAGTCATTTGCAAGTAGAGACCTTATTGATGGTCCTGATAGAAATGCACATAGCCCAGCCCATTGGTGAACACTGCTGTTTGCATGTGAGTGTCATAACTGTGTAAGTGTTGGCTTGCTTTTTTTTATCTCATTGCTTTAGAAGCCGTAGTTGCAGGCATGTGTCTTGATAGTTTTTCTGATTAATGTTGTACTGGCTCTAATATCTCAGTAATGTTACCTGTGAGCAGAGGTGATTCTGTCTCAGCAAACTAACAGCAACTTTAGGAAATAAGCTACCATCACTGCAGTGGCCTGATACAACTTGCTCTGGAGAAATGCAGCTTCATATTATGGCTTTATCGCAGGTGGCTTCTATTTAGCATTAATTTACTGTTTTTAGTGCTGTGTTTAGTTAAGCAGAATGTCTGTGAATATGTGTTAAGCATTTTCTTGCAAGCATTTTCTTGCACTTTTTCTCCAAGGGTTGAATCAATGGCTGATCAAAAGAGAGACCTTTTGAGGATGAAAATAGTGGTATATGACATACTAAATGCCGTGGATACCAAACAGATAAATTCAGGGATTTTGTATTCCACAAGTGTCTAGTATGACACACTGCTGGATGAGTCATCTCACCCTGACATTTCAATCCAAAGATTCTTGCAAAGCATAGTCTGTAAACCATGGGTAGCAATATGCTCTTGTTACAGTATAATTAATCTGGGAATTCTCACACTATAGGCCTGCTGGTGATTCAGGGTCTCCCTTGCACCAGGGACCTAGCTGCTGGGAAAAATACAGCAGTGAATGCTGAAGCTAATCACAAAACAACGTCAGCAAAAACCACTCTGGGTACAACGTTCCATTGCTGTATTCAGTTTGCTTGCATGGCTTTCATTCCCTGATATCTGTGCAATAAAACATAATAGCCATTTCACACTGGCATAGTAGAGACACTGCTTACCTTTCTCTGCCCAGATTTTGCCATACATGTACGGAGGGAGGGATAGGTACATTATAAGCATACAATTCACACAGCAATTGTCTTAGAGCACTGTAATGTACTAAGACATGATGGAAAAAAGGAAACATGCTTCACACTGCATTAATTTGTTGACCACATAGTCCATTTTCTCAGTATAAAGTAAGTCTCTTTTATTTTGCAATCTATAATTAGTCCTAGGAAAAAAGTGAACAAAAATCTCACATTACAAAGATATTGTTGGCTTGCAGTTTTAAGAAATCTCAATGCCAAACTGCTTTAAGTACCCCTCGGACATAGAGATTAAAAGTACCGAAGGATAATGCTATAGCATCTCTCTTTTAATGTACGATTCTTAAATTTGGTTGGAGTTTATGGGACTAGAGTCTGAAGATTAGCATCAGTCATGCATTATTTGTGATCTACCAAACTGAATGCAGTCCTCCAATTATTTACTGTGGTGGCTGGGTGTTTGGCAATCTCCTGGATTTTGCTGTCCTTGGTAAACAGCAAAAACAGGAAGCTTATCAAGTTGTGGCAGAATACTTTACATGGCTGGTAGGTTCTTTTCATTTTCTTGGTCATAACTTGTTCAGACTTTAGCTGCAGCTATGTCCATTCATATGCAAAAATTGTCTGAAAGAAGCAGGACTGCATGCTTATTAGTAAAGAGGGCTCTTCTTCCTCCCCATTTTTGAATTGTTTTTTCCAAACTGTTAGTAAAGCATTGACATGGAACAGGTCAGAGTAATATTATGTGAATGAAAATGTGG